CCTCTTTGATTAGGGGCCTGTCATCAAGAGTAGCAGTTTCTGCGCCCCGCGGCGGGAGATGGCATAGGCCAGCGTCCAGTATGAGTACCCGGCCACCACCAGGTTTCGCACCCCCTCCACGGGTGCCTCATCCTCCGCGTTCACCTGCTTCCTCCCCAGGTAGCTGAAGGGCGGCCGGTGAGCCATGAGAGCCAGCCCCAGGGACCCCCACCCCTCATCCCACCAGCCCCAGCACCTACATGAGGTCCCAGTCCTGCTGTGCCCCCTCCAGCTCCTCCATCAGCCGCCGCAGCCGCGCTGGGAAGGCGGCTTCAAAGCGCACATCATCCTCGAAGACCACTGACCGCTCCAGCCCCCGGGACACAATCTGCAGGAAGGGGACAAAGGTGCAAACCCATCCCAGCACCACACTGGGCCATACTGGGTCCACTCACCCTGCAGAACACCCCTCTTCCCAGGTCCTCCAGTGACATGGTGATGCTCACGGGGTCCCTGCCCCGTGCTGGTGGCCCTTATGGACCCTGTAGCCCCCACGGCCTCATACCTCCTTCCAGATGTTGTAGTGGCTGAGGAAGCAGCCAACCTCGCCCTTGGTGAGTGTGCGGCCAGAGAAGGGGTCGTAGTAGCCGGGGAGCAGGTCCACTCCCAGCACCTTGATGTCACTGCTGTTGAGGGTGCTGGAAGGCAAGAGGCCGCATCAGAGAGGTGTCCCCCCTCCAGCCACCCCCTGTCCCCTCCCCAGGGTGACACCAGGTGGGCTGGCAAAGTGGGCACGCGTCCCTCCATGGTCACCTCCCATCCACAGCATCCACCACCCGCGGGGCAATCTCCAGCTCCTGCAGGGATGCCAGCATTCGCTGGCGCCGGTCCGGCCTCCGCACCAGGTTGATGAGGAAGATCTGGGGAGGAAGGGGAGACCCCACCAAGGGGGCATGTTGTCATGGTACAGGGCGGACACAGCCAGCCTGGCCACCACAGGATGGGGGACAAGGTGCTCGGCCAAAGCTCGGCGGGCTTTGTTGTGGAGGGATGCAACCAGAGGCACAGACAGAGGGACATGGGAAGGTCCACTGGGGACTTACTTCATCAAAGCCCATTTTCGTGAGCGGCTTGGGGAGGAGGGAAATGTGCCTGGAGCGCTGCATGGGGGGGCCATCCACTGTGGAGAGAGGGGACACCCCTATGGTGGAGCTCAGACCCCCCTGGCTGGGAACTGGGTCTGACAGCCCTGCCCCAGGGGCCGTCACCAGGTCCCCATCACCCCTGGTGTGGGGGACACCTCTGGGACCCTGCTGCCTGTAGGCGCTCACCCATGGCCTCCAGTGTGAGATGCACAAAGTTGGCGCGTTCATCCTCCAGCGTCTGGTGGGCCTTCACAGGGACATTGATGTAGCCAAAGCGCTGCTGGTTGCACACATGGACCTCCACACCTGCCGGGTGGGATGGGTGAGCACCACAGCCTCCCCAAACCCCCCCCCCCCCCTAAACCGCTGGACCCCCAGCTCTCACCAGCTGCCTGGCAGGAGTAGGCGAAGACGATGATATCGTCAAAGGCCCAGGTGTAGTTGGGATGGGGCGGGTAGAAAGCCAACCTTGACGTCTCCTCCTTCCGCAGGTCGATCAGGAAGGTGGCATAGACCATGGGGACAGCAAAGCAGCCCACCCGCTGCCGGTTCTTGGTGGGGAAGTAGTCAGCCGTCCGGCGGTAGTACCCCTGCAGCACACCAGCGTGATGCCTCCATGGTGAGGGGTTCCTTTGCCATGGGTGGGTTCCCCTTCCCCAAGGCTTTCTGGGGACGTACCTGGGGCGTGATGCCACACCAGAAGTTGGAGTAGAAGGTCTGCGAGTCCAGCATGGGCGCCACCACCGACTTGTTCTGTGCCATGAGAAACTTGAGGGTCTGGTTATTGGTCAGGATGCTGTCGGTGTCCATGAACTGGGGAGGAAAACACAGGACCTGAGGCGCGGGGACGCCCACCTCAGTCCCTATACCGCTGGTGCCTTATGTCCCTTACCAGGATGTAGTCAGCCTGCTGTTCCCGGGCGTAGGTGAGAGCCTCCTGCTTCAACTTCATCAGGTTTTCATAGCGTTTGTCACTCCAGTGCTTTGGCCCGAGCTCGTCAGGGTAGGAGCTGGGCAGGAGGGAGGCAGGGGTTAACCCCACTCGCTGGGAACGCACAAACTCGTTGCACACCACAGCTCGAAGGCTGCCTGCCTCAGCCCAGCTCTGCCTTGCCACCGGCTCCTCCTGGCGATGTCCCCAGCGGTGGGTGCTTCTCCAGGAGCCCCTTGCAGCCCACGCCTGCCCCCCACCACCCCCAGCCTCACCTGGGCTCCTCCTGCACCTTCCAGGCCACCGAGTGATAGTCCTTCCCCACCGCCCCCAGCCACTCCTGCAGCATCGCCGTCGTGTTGTCCAAGTTGTGGTCCGTCGCGCACCTGGGGTGAAGGGACATCAGCCTCTGGGGGTCCCCCCTCCAAGGGACAACCACGGCCCCCTCCCCGCACTAGGAACGCTCCTGGGGCTGAGAGGCTGAGCCAGTGACGGAGTCGCTCGGGAACGTAACATGTAATTTGAAGGAGCTGAGGCTGCGCTGGCAGGAGGGGGAACGTGGATGGGTAAATTCTTTCCTGGTGCTGCCGCCGGCTGGGC